ATATCATATATGGATATATATGTATTTGTGTAGGATTTGTGTGTATGAATACATGTACGTGTGTATATGTATATATTTGTTGAATTAATTAAAATAAATGGAGAAGAAAAGTAAAGCTGATATCAGACTTCACAACATTCAATACCAGAAAACAATTAAGCAATGTCTATATAGTTTTGAGGTGAAAAGAAAAGAAAATGTGACCTAATTACACTATACCCATCCACGGTATAATTTTAGAGGCAATACACAGACATTTTCAACACAAAAGAACTCAGAAAATATAATACCCATGTGACCTTCCTGAAAAAAATAAACAAACTACTTTGTAATAAATTCAGCCGATTAAGAGATGAATCAAAATAAATAACTCAGGAATAGCAAAGCCATTATAAAAGGACAGGAAGTGCTTTTTATTTTAGTGTAGTCCTAATAGTTTAATTTTGCTTGAGGAGACATATCTAGAAAAATGTTTCTACAGCCAATGTCAGAGAAATTACTGCTTATGTTTTCCTTCACAAGACTTATGGTTCAGGTCCCACCTTTAGTTCTTTAATCCATTTTGAGTTTATTTTGTGTATGGTGTAAGAAAGTGTAGCTGTCTAGTTTTTCCGATACCATCTGTTAAAGAGTCTACGTTTTCCCCATTGTATATTCTTGCCTCCTTTATCAAAGATTAATTGACCATACAATTGTGGGTTTATTTCTGGACTCTACATACTGTTCTATTGATCTATATATCTATTTTTGTGCCAGTACCATACTGTTTTGATTACTACAGCTTTGAGTATACCCTGAAACCTGGAATTGTGATACCTACAGCTTTGTTCTTCTTTCTCAAAATTGAGAAAATGTCTATTGGCTTTGGCTATTTGGGGTCTTTTCTGGTTCCATACAAATTTTTGGATTATTTGTTCTAGCTTTTACATAGTGAAGAAAACCACCAACAAAACAAAAAGGCAACCTATTGAATGGGAGAAGATATTTGCAAATGACATATCCGATAAGGAGTTAATACCCAAAATATATAAAGAACTTATATAACTCAATACCAAAATATAATCCAACTAAAAAACGGGAAGAGCACCTGAACAGACATTTTTCCAAAGAAAGCATACAGATGGCCAACAGATACATGGAAAGATACTCAATGTCACTAATCATTGGGGAAATGCAAATTAAAACCAGAACGAGATGTCACCTCACACCTGTCAGAATGGCTAAAACCAAAAATACAAGAAATAACAAATGTTGACAAAGATATGGAGAAAAAGGAACCACCGTGCACTGCTGGTGGTGGGAATGTAAATTGGTGCAGCCATTGTGGAAACCAGTATGAAGGTTCCTTAAAAGATAAAAAATAGAATTACCATATGATCCAGTAATTTCACTGCTGGGTATTTACCCAAAGAAAATGAAAATACTAACTTGAAAAGATAAATGCACCCCTATGTTTATTGCAGCACTATTCACAATGCCCAAGATAAGGAAGCAACCTAGGTGTCCATCAGTAGATGAATAGATAAAGAAGATGTGGTATACACACACACACACACACACACACACACAGGAATATTATTCAGCCATAAAAAAGAAAGAAATCTTGCCATTTCCAATAACATGGATGGACCTAGAGAATATAATGCTAAGTGAAATAAGTCATTTAAAGACAAACACCATATGATTTCACTCATATGTAGAATTTGAGAAACAAAACAAATGAACAAAGAAAACAGGAAACAAAAAAAAAACCAGACTCTTAAATACAGAGGACAAACTGGTAGTTGCCAGAAGGGAGGTGGGTGAGGGGGATGGGTGAAATAGATAAAGGGGATTAAGAGTACACTTATCTTGATGAGCACTGAGAAAAGTATAGAATTGTTGAATTATTTTATTATATACCTGAAACTAATATAACATTGTATAATTATACTTCAATTAAAAAAAAAGGATGGGGCACCTGGGTAGCTCAGTTTGTTAAGTGTCCAACTCTTGATTTCGGCTCAGGTCATGATCTCAGGGTCATGGGATGGAGCCCTGCCTCTGGCTCTGCCCTCAGTGTGCAGAGTCTGCTTGTCCCTCTCCTTCTGTTCCTCCCCCTACTCTCTCCCTCTCTCTCTCTCAAATAAATAAAAATCTTTAAAAAAATAAAAATAGTTTGATTTTTTAAAGATTTTTTTAAAAGATTTTATTTATTTGTCAGAGAGAGACAGAGCGCATGCACAAGCAGGGGGAGAGGCAGAGGGAGAAGCAGGCTTCCTACTGAGCAAGGAGCCCAATGCAGGACTCGATCCCAGGACGCTGGGATCATGATCTGAGCTGAAGGCAAATGCTTAACCAACTGAGCTACCCAGACATCCCCCCCACAAATAAAAATAATTTTAAAAAAAGAATAGCAACTGCACCTCAAATCCATTTAAAGATTAGTCCAAGACTAATCAACTATGGGAATTGTAATTACAGAAAGTGAATAGTGTAAATCTGCATAAAATAAAAATTATAAAATAATTAAAATTGGGAAATATAACAAGGAAAAAAATAAGATGAGGAAATACTAAATACCTTCATCTTTTATAGTAGGACGTCAGTTGTTATAATTGAAAAATGTGATCAAAAAGTAGTGAATGGAGAAGCTCCTGAGTGACTCAGTTGGTTAAGCGTCTGACTTTTTTTTTTAAGGTTTTATTTATTTATTTGACAGAAAGGGACACAGCAAGAGAGGGAACACAAGCAGGGGGAGTAGGAGAGGGAGAAGCAGGCTTCCGGCTGAGCAGGGAGTCCGATGCGGGGCTTGATCCCAGGACCCTGAGATCATGACCTGAGCTGAAGGCAGACACTCAACAACTGAGACACCCAGGTGCCCCTAAGCATCTGACTCGATTTCACCTCAGGTCACGATCTCAGGATTGTGAGATCAAGCCCCGTATCAGGCTTCACGCTGGGCATGGAGCCTACTTAAGATTCTCTCTCCCTCTCCCTCTGCCTCTACCCCACACCCCTCTCTAAAAAAAATAATGAATGGACTTTAATAATAATAATAATGAATCTTCATCATAGGGTCTTAGAGTGATTTTAGAATGACTTTTGTGAAGTTAGGTTCAATTTTAATAATTCTCTTATTTTTTTATTTCAGATTCTCTTTCTACTGTTGGAATCAAGTACAAATATTTTTTATTTTAATTAATAAAATTTTATAACAGAATTTATGATCATCTACATTGCTATATACCCATATATCTATTAAGACAGTATATAAAACTAGGGTTTTTTATTAGAAGTTTTTATTTATTTATTAAAACTGTTTTATATAATGTTTACCTAAGGGTGACAATGGTTGTTTCTGGGTAAGAAATTTTTGGTGATTTTATTTTATTTATTCATTTATTTATTTTAAGATTTATTCATTTTCAGAGAAGGAGGATGGGCAGAAGGAGAGAGAGAATCTCAAGCAGACTCCCCACAGAGCGTGTAGCCCAAGTGTTCCATTCCATGATTCTTAATATTGAAATCTGCAGTTTTGTTTGTTTGATTGCTTATTTTCATTATTTGATCAATTACCTTAATTTCATCTTTTTTGTCACTTTATATTAGGTGCTTTGCTTATAAAGTGCATATAGCACGTTTTTTCCCAATTATCAAAATCCACCAATCATAAGGTAGAAGAGTATGGATTTAAGAAATTTTAAAGTTACATAGGAAAAGTTTAATCTTACTAGTAATCAAAAAGATGAAAGTTAAAAAACAGAATGCATTCAAATTGCAGAGGTTTCTTCTTTTTTTTAAAGATTTTATTTATTCATTAGAGAGAGAGAGAGAGCGGGCAGGGAGGAACAGAAGGGGAGGGAGAGGGAGAAAGAATCTGAAGCAGACTCCGTCTGCACTGAGTGCAAGGCCCAAAGTGGCACTGGATCCCACAACCAGCAGATCACGACCTGAGCTGAAACCAAGAGTCCGAAGCTCAACTGACTGAGCCACCCAGGTGCCCTGGTTTCTTGTATTCAATAATGCCCAATGTTGGTGAGAATATGGTACTTTGAAAGCTCTCATACACTGATGATGGGAGAATAAAACAATACAATTAAAAGCATAATTTGACAATAGATACCCTTTGGCCATTAGTTTGGCCCCATGACTAATGGATGCCAAGTAGACAAATACAGAATCTAAGAAACCACAGAATATAACAGACAGGATTGCCAAATTTTTATCCCTATGATAATGATTTTAAGGATTCCAGAATCCTTCACACAGAACTTTGAAATTGCATACAATACATGGCCATCACCTACAACTGAGCAAAGGTGTAGGAGAGAAGGAAAAAGTTACCTTGACTCTGGGACCCAGAGTTAAAGAAGGGAAATTAGAGGAAAGACATGAACAAATATAAAAGCAACCTATAAAAGACTTATGACTCTGGTACCATTAAATTGCTCCTTTTACTTATCCTAATACAATCCCAAGACAAAAGTAATCCCATACTATCTCAGATGAAATATTATGTAGACTTTGAAACCAAACTGCCTGAGTACAAATTTATCCAGCTTCACTAATTATGAGACCTTGTGCAAGTTACTTAACCATTTTGCACCTTAAGTGTCTTCATCTATAAAAGCAGGAATAAGGATTGCTGAGAGCATTACCTGACTTAATATATGGATAGCTTAGGACAATGCCTGGCCTATAAGAAATGTTTTATAACTTTCAGATTTCTTTATCTAAAATGCAGTGGGAAAAGAAGCTGCTTTTTCTTGATCTTAACTGAAGGTGTGAGTGGAAGTTTTTCTCACTTTCACATCATGAATACCACTAACTGAAAGAAATTGTAAAATTCCTTTGATTATAAGATGTACCCTAACTTCAGAGAAGTTAAAATGAAATAACATAATATTTATCTTAGAATAGAAATAAGTTAGTATGCTTTAATTTAATTCTAAGTTAATGTGTGCGTGACATCCATGCAAAATAATTTGATTCAAATTATGAATAATGTAACTTCTTACCTCTGTAAATTCCATTTTGTTCAATCTTGGTTCCATTGAGTCAGCAATATCCAATTGTTTGCAACATGCTTCTAATTATGGAATAAAAGGTATTTGCTAGTTAGTTTGGTTGTAATACATTCATATTTCATATTCATTTTATAGCACTTTAGAAGAACGTAAAATTATTTCTTAATGTCTATCTTAATATCCATCAATATTTACAATAAAGCAAATGATATATAGTTGGGTAACATTCCAATTACTACAAAATTATTGCTTTTCCTGGCTTTTATTTAACCAAGCAACCCAAACACTGAAATAAATGTGTCTACATTTTTAACGACCAGCCTGAGATAAAGCAAAAACAAATATGCACATCAATGGTATAAAGAAGACTATGAAAACAACTGTGTTGGGTTATGCTAGCATTTACAGAAGCAGGTCCTAAAACACAACACTTCTACAAACCTTCTTTTTAAATATTTTGTCTTTAATGCTTCTTAAATTAAATGAATAATATACAAATATGTTCTTTTAGTAAAAGATTCAAATAGTACAAAAACATAAGCAGCAAAACTTGAATATCTCCCTTTTCCCCTGCCCCCCACCAGCATTCTCACTCCCCCTTCCCCGCCACCCCGGAAGGAACCACCATCAACCCTTTGTTGCCACCCTTCCAGCAACCTTTCTAGGTATTTTTGTTTATAACATACATCTTTTTTTTTTTTTTAAGATTTTATATATTTATTTGACAGAGAGAGAGACACACAGCAAGAGAAGGAACACAAGCATGGGGAGTGGGACAGGGAGAAGCAGGCTTCCTGTGGAGCAGGGAGCCTGATGCGGGGCTTGACCCCAGGACCCTGGGATCATGAACTGAACCGAAGGCATGTGCTTAACGACAGCTTTTGTTTTTCTACACATACATATGATCATATTGATCTGCAACTTCCTTTTTTCACTTCATCACTCACCTTGTAGATCTTTTCATATTGGACATGGAGCTCAGGGGGAAGGTTTGGGATGGGAATATAGATATATAAATGAGTCATCAGCTCAAGTCATGGGTTTATTTATTTATTTATTTTTTAAAAGA